CAGAGGGGAACACATTGCATGAACGGGGCACGTAATCGACTGGAAATCGACAGAAAGGTTGGCTGCATGTGGAGAAAATATGAGAAAATGCAAGATCCGAGAGGCCATCGAAATACTGACCGGGAGAAATCTAATGAACAGGAGACTTGAAGAAGGCAGGATCAGCGAAAACTTTGCATATTGCCTAGACAAACTCGAAGAAGACCAGGCAGCAGCAAGATCAGCAACAAGAAGACGACTGGATCAAGGTAATATCCTTAATTTTAGGAAAAGAGATCGCAAGGGGATGAGAAAGGACGAATCAGAAGCAAAGAGGATACGTCTTCAGTAAGCCTTATCAAAACAAGTAGAACCATGACATTTGTAGGTTGGCCCACAAGAGACTGGGACATAGGAAGTGATAGTCATGGTATTACAGATAGAAACATGAAGGATTCGGTGGAGACTAAAGCTGTTTGGCTAACAATAGACGTGTTTGATCTTAAACATGATCCTTAATTCACGACTATTGTTAGCCAACCATCTTTAGCTTTCACTGTTTCTATCCTCTTTCTATCTATGATACCAAATTTATGACTTCCTATGCCCTAGTTTCTTGTGTTAACCCAAAAACGTTGTGGTTCAACATTGAACCAAATCAAAACAAGCTGTACCACAACATTTGAGGGTTGGCACACAAAAGACTAGGGTATGGCAAATCAGAGACTTGGTATTAGGGATAGAAACTGGATAGTCACGACGCGGGCGATATGTCTGGGGCTGCACCAAAGAACGATCCGATACTGGAAATTATCATGAATACTCTGGCAGAGTACGCAGGACTGGGCATGTTCCACAAGGTCTCTTTTTCGCTCCGACCAAGCTGCTAGTACGAGGTCAAACCAACATGATAAAGATAAAGGAGACCGCGGCCAAAAAAGACCACGGCATCTTGGTCGTCATGTCACTATTTCATTTATTTCTATTACCTATTCAGATCAGCTCATCTTTCTTGAGATGTCTTTCCTTTAAAAAGCATAATCCCTTTCTTGCCTTCTTACCATCTACCTATTTTCCCAACAGTCTCCGCTATGAGAATGAACTGCGCCCGCCTTCCAGCCTTTCCGTATCCCTGTCTCCAGACCGGCCAGCGACTACAGCCACCAGAGCGTAAGTTCTATTGTGCTTGTGTGTGTACATGCAAAGTTTTAAAGTGGGCATTCTTTATTTGTTGCAAATTTCAATAAGGCTGCAGAAGGTGACTTCAAAGTGCCAGGATGAAACTATGCCAGAACCAGATCTGAACTTGCGAACTTGTTTGAGAGTTATTTCCGGTGCATTTGATGATGTAAGCCTCGAAATCCCTTCCATAAAATATAGTACAACAGTAGTGTCAAACTTTCACATTTTGGACAATTAACATGTTCTTTGAGTGCAGTTGAAACCTTTAGGTAGTCGAAAAAAATTTTTGTTCCTTTGCAATATTATGCTTTGAACCTTGTGCCAGAATGTTGTTCGCTTAAGTGTTCCTATCTGCGCTGCTTATTCATTTAGATAAATCTTTGTGTG